GGCACCGGGGGATGCGGTCCAAGGGGCTGCTGGTGCCCAGGTGGCACCGGGGGAAGCGGTCCAAGGGGCTACTGGTGCCCAGGTGGCACCGGGGGATGCGGTCCAAGGGGCTACTGGTGCCCAGGTGGCACCGGGGGAAGCAGTCCATTCGCGTAAGGCGGGCACAGGAGCGGGGGTGGCACCGGGGGAAGCGGTCCATTCGCGTTGGGGTGCAGGAGTTGCACCTGATGAATCCACCAAGAATAAGTTAACAGAGGAAACGTTGAATGGTGAACCAAACTCCCGTCTGTCCAAAATGGGACATTCTTCTGTACTTGTGCATAACTCACCAGTCCCCTGTCCTTCCTCAACTAGCTTCAACCCGATGAAGAAGTAACAGCCGATGCTACATCCAACAGCTGCGAACAGGGGCCGGCCAGGAGCAACACAAGGGAACGGCTTTTCCTACAACACGGGCTACAAATCACGCATGTAACTACGTAGGACACGAACTTCGCATGATGTCTCACGTAGGCTTACTGACACGCCCGTTAAACCCGACTATCGTATATGACTTAAGATAACACACCCCCTGGACCGATTTGCAAATCTTGATTACTCAACGACAAGAGGATGCATAAACGAAATGATACATTTTCGAAAAGCTCTCGACGAGACGGTTTCAACGCCGCCGTTTTCGGTGCTGTGACGGTTCCTGCAGTTGAGAAATTGGTCAAGCACCCTCGAGGCAGTTACACAGTGATTACAACTGTCTCTGGAAGTGAAACCACCAGAAAATACGTTAAGTCATACGCAGCTGTCATCCGTACGCAAGGAAGTAAGCACAAGACGCCGCACACCCTTAGCAGGATNCCCGGCGTGCTCCGTCCCGGCTTTGGAGGGATGCGAGGCCCAGGGTCTAACGACTACGGCATGCACGACTATGAGTACACCCCCGCCTCTCCTCCGCTGATAAAACCCGCGAGGAGGCGCCATCTACTCGCGAGCGCGGACGGGAAGACGCGGGTGTATGCACGTTGGCAGGAGGTCGTTCGGAACGAGGGCAGGGCGTCCGTCGAGACAAGAGAAGGGGAAGCCCTTTCCTCTCCTACCCAACGGGACACTCTCACATCGGCGGGCGGCGGTTGGTTTCGGCTGAGCTCGTCACCCCGTCAGGCGGCCACGCCGGACGGGAGACGGGCGATCGCATCGCAGAATCGGATCTTGTTCGCGCGTCATTTTCGGTCCGGATCTTACTCGCCCTAGAAAATGTAGCTACTCTCGTTGGTTGACTCACCGGGGGAAGCAGTCCAAGGTGCTGCTGGTGCCCAGGTAGCTCCGGGGGATGCCGTCCATTCGCGTTGGGGGGCGGGCGTTGCACCGGGGGATGCGGTCCAAGGGGCTGCTGGTGCCCAGGTGGCACCGGGGGATGCGGTCCAAGGGGCTACTGGTGCCCAGGTAGCACCGGGGGAAGCAGTCCATTCGCGTAGGGCGGGCACAGGAGCTTGGGTGGCACCGGGGGACGCGGTCCATTCGCGTTGGGGGGCGGGCGTTGCACCGGGGGATGCGGTCCAAGNGCAAGGCGGTCCACTCGCGTTGTGGAGCGGGTGTGGCACCAGGGGAAGCGGTCCAAGGGGCTGCTGGTGCCCAGGTGGCACCGGGGGAAGCAGTCCACTCGCGTTGGGGGGCGGGCGTGGCACCAGGGGAAGCGGTCCAAGGGGCTACTGGTGCCCAGGTGGCTCCGGGGGATGCAGTCCACTCGCGTTGGGGGGCGGGCGTGGCACCAGGGGAAGCGGTCCAAGGGGCTACTGGTGCCCAGGTGGCTCCGGGGGATGCAGTCCACTCGCGTTGGGGGGCGGGCGTGGCACCAGGGGAAGCGGTCCACGGGGCTGCCGGTGCCCAGGTGGCACCAGGAGAAGCAGTCCATTGACGCTGGGGAGCAGGGGTGGCTCCTGATGAACCCGCCGGCGAAAAGGCATGCATGGTGTGTGGTAGGTGGGTGGGCAGAAAGAAAAAAAGTAAAAGGCGATTCGAGTTTGTTTTTAGTTCGAGCAAAGACTGCATTGCAATTCCGAAGAGTTACGACCTACATGAAAAGCAAGGCGCCCTGCGATCTGTCGTTGAATGTTCACGTTCCGCTGGGTGGTCGGATCTGAATTTCGCTCTGTCGATCGAATGACGCCGCGTGTCGGTTCATCACAACGCGTTTCGGTTCGCATCATACCGCGGTTGGGGTCGGTTCGCACCTTAACCGGTTGCTGTGCATCGCGGGGGAGGGAGGGAAAAGTCCGGAATATCTTTCCTCGTCGTCCGGTCGCTCGCTCGCATCGCATCGCATCGCATCGTCAAAAACACCGCGGGCTAATCGTACCTGGGGAAGCGGTCCAAGGGGCTGCTGGTGCAAACGTGGCACCGGGGGAAGCAGTCCATTCGCGTTGGGGAGCGGGCGTGGCACCCGGCGACGCGGTCCATTCGCGTTGGGGGGCGGGCGTGGCACCTGAAAACAATAACATCCACGAACAAGTTGCGAACGTTTCGAGTCATGGGAGGGGTGAGGGGGGGCGAACTGTGTGGAAAGGAAGAACCGCGTCTGGAGTTTGTCTCGCGAGAACCATTTCACATTGACGTACCGTAGTAGCCCGGACAAGAAGCAGGATATTGCGTGTGTCGGTTTCAAGTCCACGCGGCAGATGAGTAGCAGAGGGGCGCCTACGCGATTGATTTTAGGAGATTTTGAAAAAATCATTCCAACGATCACACGTACAAGGGGATTACTCATAGCCCATCTGGGAAGCAAGAAGAGCGGTCCGGATTTAGCATCGCGGGAGGGACGGACATTCGTCGAAAACCTTTCCGCCGTTGACATCTGACACATTCTACTGTCATCAGTAGACGACACCATGCAAAGGCGTCAGCGTGCTGGCACGTGCATGTTTGGTCATGAAGCTGAAACATCGAAGGTCGCAGCACTCTCTGAAAGAGGTCCGTACTCTATGGGCCAGGACCCAACAAGTCTCACAGTCGTGCTCAGTACAAAACACGGGGTGTCCATTCGAATTTGCGGAGATTGTAGGCCGCTACTCCGACTGAATCTCGATATCACCACTGAAGAAAAAGCTTTGGGCGCGCAAACACCCACACCCACCCGCCCGTCGGTTTCAGGAATGCTGTTTGCGGATGATTTTGTCGGTATGTCGGACACCCCTGAGGGACTGCAACTGCAAATTGACGCGGCGAAGAAGTTTACTGATAAGTGGAGATTGTCTGCCAACGTTCAGAAGAGTGCCGTCATGGTATGCAACGAGAACAAGGAGGAACCAGTAGAACATAGATGGAAGTGGGGGATCGAGGAGATTGCAGTAGTGGACCAGTACACATACCTTGGAGTAGAGATCGCAAAGTAAGACTCGTGGAATGCACACATGTCCAAGGTAGCGGAAAAGGGCAAAGCACGAGCAGGGAAGCTGCATCCAATACTCGCAAACCGGCACCTCGATACACGCATCAAATTGACGGTTT